AACTCAGTTCTCCATTGTTTCATCGCCTTTTCAGTAAAGGATGTAATATTTTTGCTAATGCCAAAAATATTTCTAAGCATTTTATGATCCAACTATGTGGCAGTGAGTCAAATGCCTTTTTGTAATCAATCCAGACCATATTCAAGTTCGTTTTTCTGTTCTTACAATTTTCTAATATCATTTTATCAATTAGAAGCTGATCTTTTGTGCCCCTGCTCCTTCTTTTGTTGCCTTTATGCTCTACTGGCAAGATGTTGTTTGTTTCCAAATAATCCATCATGTTATCTGCAATAATGCCTGTGAGTAATTGGGTGACCCAAACACCCACCGACATTACTCATGGTAGAATTGAGTTAGAGCCAGTTCCTCTTCATCCAAACTTCCATAGCCTCCAAGCACTGGGACTGAACCTCAGTACTTGTTTGGCCCAGTAGTCCTTGCCTTGTGACCACAATTGAGCCCAACATTTTTGTTGCCAAGTGAGAAATTTGTTAAGTGAGTTTGGCCCCATTTTACAACTTTTCTTGCCACATTTGTTAAGTGAATCATTTCAGTTGTTATATTAGTTATATTAGTAACACAGTTGCTAAGTGAATCTAGTTTCCTCATTAGCTTTGCTTGTCAGAAGGTTGCAAAAAGACACTGCAGCCATCATAAATGTGAGTCAGTGTCAAGCATTTGAATGTAACCAGGGGAATTCTGCAATTGTCATAAGTGGGGAAAATGGTCATAAGTCACTTATTTCAGTGCCGCTGTAACTTTGAACAGTCACTAAATGAGTTGTTGAAAGTTGAAGACTATCTGTAAATATCATGCACTCATAATATCCCAAACTGGGCAAACCAAACTTTGGTTTAGGAAATTTGGATCTGTGTTTGGCTATCTTATCTATAATTGAAGATTAATAACTAAATCTCGAAAAAATTTCCAGGTTAGGATTATCACATTTTTATATCACAGAAATGTCTATAAGAAACACAGTTGTGTTTCACACAACCTTCAGAAGAATAGGTGCTGGAGATAGAATAAATAAATGAAAAAAGAATTTTGTTATGTGTTCAGCTTAGTTAGCACTAAAGTTCCATGAAGTATAACATGATCATAGGGTACCATTGAAGTAATCCTTATTCAGCCAAGTTCTGTATAATGTTACATTTAAATAATATAATTTATAATTTATATTTCCCAGGATTCCCTCTATGTGCTTCTTGAAGACAAAGATACAGTATATAAAAGCATTGCAATTACCTGCTTTAATTGTCGTGATAGTTTTTTATGCCTTTAGATTCCACAAGGGGATTGTTCTTGCTGTTAACTATATGTAAAACTAGATCTTAAAATATAACCTGTGTTATAAATATTAACTGTACTTGCTTTTATAGTATATCTCATAATACCCAGAAATACTTCTCAGGAATTATTCAGAGAAGATTGCTGAAAAGGAATTGGAAAAGAGAGAAAGACTTTTCCCCAAATGTTATCCTTGGGATCTTTCTCTGTTTTCAGTGTTATCCTTTTGCTGTAAGAGGGAGTGGCCTAGAGGTGGAACTCTCGCCTCACAATCAGGACACTGTGAATTTGATCCTAGGTAGAGGCAGATATTTCTCTCAATGAGAATTTATCTGCTGAACAAAACTCTACATTGGTGACAGGAAGGGCATCCGGTCAGTAAACACTCTGCTAGTTGCCCAGACTCCTAGGGTCATTAAAAATGAAAAAAAAAAATCATTTTGCTGTAACAGAATAAGACTCTTTTAAGTGTCCTTCTGAATTGTCTTAGCTCAGAGAACAGAGAATTTATCTTTTATCTTTTTTTCTTCTTCTTCCTGCCTTAGAAGGTGCTAGTGCTGTTTAAAAACCTGCTGTTTCTTCATTAACATCAAGCTGGTGCATCCAAAACTCTTCTGTTTTTATCTGTACATCTTAATTATTAATCATTCTATACCTTAGTTCTTGCAATTAATTTAGTAAGTGAAAACATTAGCAGAACAATCCTCATCCTTAAATAATTTAAAGCATTAATGGTGCCTGATAATTTTGGGAGTGACTCATTATTACTAATTCTTATTCTTCAGCAACTTGTAATCAGTGAAACTGATTAACGTAAGTGCCATTTTCCATTTTCCAGGTGTTTAGTAATAATATACATTTGCTTTAAAAGAATAACCTATCTGCATATGTTTTGAAAGTATTAGTTTAGTTTTAAATGAAACTGATTTTACTCTTAAACACTTGCTCATAAGTATATTTATTGAAGTTAATGAGAGCTCTTTATTATGCAAAGCCTCATATAGATAGCTTCACTTTATCAGAAAAAAAGAACTAAAAGTAACTCAGTGCCCGAGCTAGCAAACAGGCTTGCCATTATTGAGAGAAGATTTCCATCTAAATATCGGTGTTTAAACCGAGGAATGAATAAAAAATGGAAATGGAAAATCATTCAATTTCAGCCTGGAACAAATAAAGCAAGCGCATACTGAAAATCAATATTACACAAATAATACCATTAATATTTTATTTGGCATATGCTTCTTCACAGAAATTGGCATAAGTTTACTACTAGGTCTACAATATTCCAGTCAGAGAAACAGTGAACATATTATCTGAGATTAAAATGAAATGAGGGATTTCAACACAGAATTATTCACGCACTTTGTACCGTATTAGTGGCTTCCAATCCCGTAGGAGGACTACCAATTTTCCAATGATTAAGGGCTGCTCTTAAAATCTAGGAGGAGTCTGAGGGTCTTGGTGGGTGAAATGATATTTTCATTTGGTTTTGGCTTCAAAATGGGAGAAACCCATATTAGCAACGTTCATCAATTAGGAGCAGGCAAAAACCCAGACCTATTGACAAAAGGATTGCAGGTGCTTTAGATCCGGGATGGAAAATCTATGGCACGCGTGCCACAGGTGGCACGCGGAGCCATTTCTCAGTGCATGTATGTGCTGGCCAGCTGAGTTCAGACATTTTTCACCCTCCTCAGGCTCCAGAGGCTTTATAGGCTCCTGGGGAGGACAAAAAGAGCCTCACCCCACCCCCCGAGGCTCTCCGGAGCTTCAGGAGCTTCCCTGAAGCCTCCAGAGCGCAAAAAACCAGCCCTATGGACAAACCGGAAGTTCAGGAACGGACTTCCGGTTTGCTCATAGGTTCGGTTTAAGCTCTCTGGAGCCTTCAGAGACCTTCAGAAGGCTCCGGAGGACTAAAAAGGACCATACCAA